CTATGAGAAAAATGAATTTTCACAAGGGTAGTTTACCCCCCATATTTCACCCCCCGGAGACGGTTCTAATTCGCATTTCCAACATTTCTTGTGACCTTCATGATACACTGCGAAAGAGTTGTTCAAAAAGCTTCCTTATGTGTGCAATCGAAAAATGACCCCGAGAGGTGGTCAACTTCAGAGAGCACTTTCACCCCCTAAAACCCAATATGGGCAGCTAAAAAAAAATACATGTCTCTTAGTTTTGGGTCCCCTATAACATATTCAAGTTTCATTGAAATCGGAGGGGGACACCTGCGTAGTGTTCCTTGTTAGTGGTGGTCCGAGAGAAAATTTTACTTTTCTCCGAAAAGAAGATGATTACCCAAGGGGTAATCTGAAGAAAAATTTGGCAGGAAATTTTTCCTGAGAGTGACAGATTTTCTTTCGTGAGCGCGAAATTTCATGGCAAGGAGAAGGTCTCTGAAACTCAGTGGGTTGTTCTCTCATCCATCCGGGGAGGATGGCCTTGAGCTGACGAGATAATTTTTCTCCATTGAGAAAACGAAAGTAACGTTTTTTCCGCTCCGAGTTTTTTCCTGTTACGCTGAGCACTGTTTTCCTCATTCGCCCGAGGAGAATGGTCTCGGGGCCGGGAAACGGCTTTATCCAGTGGAAAAATGTAAGAGATCGAGGCCAGCGGCACAACATTCCGGAAAGGAAATTATCGCGCCTAGAAATGAGAGGTTAGTCTGGAAACATCATAAACCGTCCCGATTTTTCGTTTGTGGAGAGGATTTTTCCCGATGCTATGGGTATTGTTTTCCTCATTACCCTGGGCAGAATAGTCTCAGGCATGGACAATAGCTCTTTTCCACCGAAAAATATCGAAAAGACAGTGAAAAACAGAGAGAAATACAAGAAACTCAATTATCAGCCGGTCGGTAAAACAGTCACTCATACGGGAGTGACGTTGCCAACTGCGAAATTCAGAGGTACTGATTCCGCCTGTGAGGGCGCACCACGTAATGGGTCAAGTCTCGGGGCAAGAGTTTAAATACTTTGAATTGACAGGTCATCACAGGTATTTAAAAGAGCGCGCCTCTCCGCAAATATGGGTCGAATGTCACCAGGGGGGACCACCTCTGGTGATCTATTTAATTGAGATGCGCTCTTATCCCCTCATTTTCCTGGCGAATCCGGAGTGCTGACCACAAGGAGAGTTCTTTTCCGTTTCGACCTTCACGCAGTGCGGAAGAAATTGACTCGTGTTCCTTGTGAGACAGTTGGCGCAGTGTATAACCATACACTGAGAGGAGATGGCCAAAGACCACGTGTTTGACCAGCTGGCGCAGAAGGTGGTGGAGACCGCCGAAGAAACCCAGAGGGGTAAATTCAACCCCCAGGGATTGAGAGAAACACTCGGCCGGGTACAACCTGTCGAGGGAGTGGAAGTAAGCGAATCCGAGTCGCTGTAGCGGGATGACGATTAAATTATACCGGAATTAATGCAATTGCATATTCCAGAAGGGGACCCCATGGAGATGGAGTTCGACTCGCTGCAGCAGCTGCAGGATGTCGGCGGAGAGGATCCGATGGACGTGGCCGTGACGGAGGTGACCATCACTGTGGAGACCCCATCTCCTTCTGAAATACCCACTTGGGAAGAGACCAGGGGAACCAAGGAATCCCCTTGACAGCTGACCCTCCCGGAGGAGGTGTCAAACGCCACCCTGGCGAGGGCCACAGTTGAAGCGCTCGGGAAGAACCCTCAGCTCCTTGCCAGGATGGCCGAGCTGATCCTGCCCCTTATCAACCCGAACCCTTCGATTTCGTCGGAAATTGTGAACATGCCAGAAGACAAAGAGGCTAAGGGAAGGAGAGAAAGAGGGAAAAGGGACTCCAACGTCCCGTTAACCCAGACTCCTTGCAGAAGGAGGAGGTACGCCTCCAGGTGCTGCAGCACGGAGGCGAGGGGCCAGCGAGAGTCTCCCGCGATGAGAATCCCAAAGGAGAAGGTGCCTGGAGAGAGTGAGAGTGTCATTACGATGTCTCAGCTCGACGAGGATTTCCATCGTGAGGAGAAACCCGAAGTTAAAAGGAGCTATCCCAGGATTGCACCAGCGAAAATTTTCTAGAATTGCAGAAAACCTGGGCACAGAAGAAAAGATTGCCCTGACGCCCGCCGCCTATTGCTAGAGGTGCGGAAGGCCCGGGAAGGAGACGAGGGACTACATCCCATACCAGGCAGGCAAAAAAGCAAGGGGCTCTTGGATCCACAACTTTGGCCGCACCATCCCCAGGAATGTTCTCAAAGCCATGGAGGTTGAGACGAAATTCAGGAGGGAGGAGCAGACGCAGGTCCCAACCCCACCAGCCCCGCGGGACGTCTCAAAGAAAGCGCCGAGGAAATCCAGGGCTCCAAAGAGGTCCCAGGAAGACCAAGGAGAAGGACGGAAATGAAAAATCTGTGTTGAAAGACACAGAAACTTTCTCTACATCATCCGAGAGGAAGGGATAACCCTTCGGTTGATGACAATGAGGCGAGAACCACCTGAGGCAGATGGGGGAAGCCGCGGCAGCCAGGACTTTTTTTTTGGAAGGCGAAAATTTTTTTCAATGCTTTATTTTGGTTCATTTTTTTTAGGCTGAGAAGGAGGAGAAAAAGTGGCCTAAAAAGACCATAGGATTGCCAAAACATCCTGAGCAAGGATGAGAGCAACTTCCAGTGAACTGAAAAGACCACAAGGGCAGGAAAAGGACGCTGGATAGATTGAAAAGTTCAGGAAGCGAGTTAGGGGCGAAAGCCCCACACAAACAACCCCAAAAAATACGTGGTCTATCAACTGCGGTGTTAGAATACGAAATCGGGTAGTAGGCGCCACCTAGCGTCTTCCCAAGGAGTGAAACAGTCGGTAACGAACTAACGTCCTCGCCGACAGACGAAGAAAATCCCAAAGGTCGGTATATTACCGAGTTGTGATCGGCAATCGGTGAAGAAGTAGTTCTATTACCAATTGACGAGAAAAGCCCGGCGGGCGGAAAAACACCCCATAGTAACTTTTTTTAGAAGGAGGAACCAGTAGATGGCGCCTCCATACTTGAATTTCAATTCAGCGCCGAGAAAACCTACTCAAGACAGGAAGATTCGAAAAAAACGCCAGATAAGGAACATTTGAATTTTTCTCATTCTGAAAGCGTCACTAGAGAAGCTAGTGAGATTATAGAGGAATCGTCTGGGAAACTGAAAACCCAAGAGGGCAGAAGTGATGAAAATACGCCCGAAATAGAGGGCGCTGTCGACAGGAAGCGCGGAAATTCAAATTTCTGTCAGTCTGTATAAATGACTAGGTATCTTAGCGAAAGTTTTAGAGGCTTAAGAGAATTTTAATAAAAGTTAAGAACCCCGAGAGACCTCGGCGACAGGGATAATCAACGAAAGAGAGGGCGCTGTCGACAGAAATATGCCAAGAAGAAAGAATGAACCCCCACCCTGGCGAAATGGGTATAAAAAGAGCTGGAGAAGCCTGAGAGTCTCGTGAGACCTCGAAGGAAGCTGGACGGAGCATCACCGAGGATAGGTGAGGAAGCGTCCGGAGCGAGTTACGTTGGGAACCTGCGGCGAGAGCCTAAGGTGGACAACGAGCAGAAGGGCGACAACGGGAATCTCTCGGATGGAGAGACAAAATGAGAGTCCGGGAAGCGGAGAGTGAATTCAACGAGTAAAGATTGGAAATTGACACTCCCGGAAGCGCCTTTCTCTCTGGAGAAAGACAAGATATATACCCCATTAGGTACGCCGAACGAGAAAAGTGAGGAGACCGCGAGCCAGGCTGCGTTGAAAGCCCTCCTAGACCAAACCAAGATGGTCGAGGAGCAGATCAGAGGTTCGGTCATGCTGAAGACTGAGGCCCCATCTCGCAAGGTAGGAAAGCCGCCTGGCAGTAAAAATAGTGGTAGAAGCAGCAGAAATGCTAGCGGCACCATGACACCCATAGGAGATATACCTGGGGCGACAGTGACAGAGGCGACCCCTACCGCAGCTGAGCTGCTGGCCAGGGTACAACACCTGGACAGAGAGTTACGGGGCCGAATAGGGCCAATGTACGTAACTCCTAAAGGAGAGGTTTCTCCAGAAGAGTTGCGTGAGAGACCCCGAGAGGAAACCACATGGCAACTAATTCCACCGAGGAAGTTGCCATTTGCAGAGGAAAGACGTCCAAAATCCTAAAGAAGGCATCATCGATCCTCTTCAGACTAGAGCAGCGAGTACGAATATAGACCTCGCAGAGAGAATTATCTCAACGCCCAGAAGGCTCTGGAGGCGTTGAAGAAGTGAGGAGTCGAGTTTACAGGACGACCCGACGAGGATGTGGAAGATTTCATAGCCCACGTAAACGACGCCATAAAGACCCTCCGTATCTGAGAAAATCACCTTCTCGGAGTACTGAGAGACTGTCAGATAGGCGATTCACCTGGTATCGTCAGATTGACGTGCATTCATAGAAGGATGCATGTCACACATTCAGAGACAACTTTGGGAAGCTAGACTATCAGGTCGCGCTCCGCGAAGAGATAGCGAGCCGTCATCAAGGCGAAGACGAATCCGGTGGCTCAGTTTGTAGCCAATCTGAAGGGTCTCCTTACCAGGACGGACCCAGAATGGCCTGAGCAACAGAAGCTTACGTATATAACCAGAGCAGTCATTGTGCCCTAGCTTCGCCTATATGAGCTCCAAGACTCGGGAGACCCCTCAAATGACAGCCCTAAAGGCACTGATCCCAGCAGAAGAGGATCCCGAGCCTAGTAGTTTGAGTAGTTAGAAGAGGCACACGCCTTATAAGGAAGTGGTGCCTTTTCAGGGAGGAGTGTGCTCGGCATGCAGTGCTATAATTGCGATCAGAGAGGACACTCCTGGTGCATCTGCATTGGGCCGAGGACAGTTTTCTGCTACGTATGTGGGAGAAAGAACGTGCAGTTCCCACAATGCCCATAGTGCAATCCGGGAAACGTCGTAGCCGGCAGCGTAAGCGACACACCAACGTCTACGTCGCTGCGAAACTCGGAAATCGCGGTCGCAATGGAGATAACAATCCCAGAGACTGGAGAGTTCGTCCCAAAAGCTGAAACAGAAATGATCTCAGTGGAAATTACAGAACCTGAAGTTGAAAGAACTGTGGAAGGTGAGCAAAGGAGCCCTGAAACAGTGAAGCAAGAATAAGGAGATGGAAATAGTAGTGACACTCTGACTCTAGAACCCATGATGAATCCCTTGAAATTAGTCTCGCCTGAATACAACTTGAGCTGGGAGTTTGGAAAACAGGCGATGAAAGAAGGCAAAACATTTGTTTTTCACGTGGACATTGAAATCCACGGAAGAAAGACCTGCAGTATAGTAGACTCGGGAGCATCTCGCACTTTCACTGGAGAGGCGAAAATCGACTTGCTGAGCAAACTAGGCATTAATGCGAGAAGAATCCTACCCAGAAGAATTCTAGTAGCGAATAGCCAACTGGAAGTGGTGAAAGAAGCCTCCAAAACACCTTTGGTATTAGGAGGAAGAACAGTCACAGTGGAACCACCTTGGATGGCCTCGCTATTCGAATATTTCATACTGAGATTGGATTTCCTGAAAGAAGCTCGAATGGTCATAGATTTCTTTCATCAGTCCTGGTTCTTCAGAGATAAACCTGAAGAATCCTTCAAGTTTGCAGCAGTCGAAAGGGCCTGCCACATAACAGTGTACAATGGTTTAAAGAGGCCTAGAGAAGACAAACACAGCCAACTCCAACAGCCTCTGGATGAAAAAATTCCAGTGATAGAAGGAAGTCCCCCGATTTCCAAGTTGCCCACCCCCC